GGGTGTCCAAACCTCAAACTGGGGTAATTAAACCTTGACCAAACAATTAAAATGCTAATATACATAAAAGTATTAGCAAAGAGAATTCAATCAATAAAAAAGCAAGAAAGGAAATCTTCAGGCTGCTGAAACTGCCCTTCAGGAGAAATACAAATTTTTTACAGTGCCAATCTCTTTCACTGATCAGCAATATATGAGATCACATAGATCACAAAACCGCCTTTGAATTTGTTTCTTCCCTCAACGATCTTTACCTACTTCCCGCAACATCCTACCCTCCCTCAATGAAAAAAAAAACACTTTTTAAAAGATTGATTACGTTTTTTGAGAAGGAACACGTTTTCTGCAAAATTTTTAACAATAAACTATTTTTACTTAATTATTTGAATTTTTCCATGCGGATGATAGCCAAACCAATAAAAGAAAAGTGGTCAAAAAAACTTTATTCAGATATTCAGGATCTGAAATGAGCAAAAAATTGTCATGTTTAAAATAAAAAATTTTGCAAATACCACTCAGGTCCGCACTGTATGACAAACGTTCTTGCTTTGATGATCGCAATTCCGCTTATATTACACCCAGCCTAGGGCGTCTAGGAAGTTGCGGACTTTGCTCTACCGGTCACAGTAGTTTTCAGTTGACTCTTTCATTTCAGCAGACAAAAAAAATTTATAGGTTTAAATGATATATTAAAACTTTTTAGAAAAAAGTAGCACACACAAAACTTAAAGTATTAAGTATTCTAAGTCAATTCTAAAAAAATTTTTATAAAAAGCGGTAATCAAAATTACGGTAAAATGTCAAAAAATAAAAATTTTTAGCTTTATAGTTCTTGACTAAAAGTAAAACAAAGTCCTACAAAGTTAAAACATTTGTTAATTTTCTAAAATTTCAGATTGTAAGGATACAGCTACGAACTGCGGCAAACATACTGCACCTTGCAACAATTCCACCTTTGCATTGCTTGTGAGGAAGCAGTGCCGGAAAACCTGTGGATATTGTTGTACCGGTCATGACTCTCTGTATCGCACTTCAAAAAGAAACTTTTTGCGCTTTATTGAGCGGTTTTAGGTCTTAGACGGAAAAACAACGTTTTTATTATAACAACGGAAAGAGAACGATGATCTATAGCGCCTGATTTGGGGAAACCCTATGGGTACTACGAACAAAATAATATGACAACAACAATACAACAATTAGTTTTTTTGGGAAGTCAAAAGTGAAACTTTGATCCAGTAAAAGCTTCAGGCATGCAGAGGACTTCTGCACCTGCACAGTGCTGTTTTTTCGCTATGGGCACTTTTGGTCTGTAGTTTCGATATTTTTCAGACTTGATGGCTGTGTTACCTTTGAGTCTTTTATAGAGATCTTGTATATCATCACTCGAGCTCTCGACTTATTCCATTTCAGTGTGCTTATCTTCAAACTTGTATTTTTTTGTGCAACCCACTTCGATTCTCTGCATATAATGTCCTAACTTCTTTTTTGTAGCTTAGCTCAACATATAATTAACGTGAATTTTCAACAACAATTTTTTCTGTTACTTTCACTTTCAAAACTCTCAATGACAAACTCTTTTAAGTTCAATTAAGTTCACGAATAGACACCGTAAAACAGGTCAAGTACGTTGAGTAAAAATTAGAATTTTTAAAATGTAGTCCCGCGACAGAAAATCTGCTTTTTTCCGCTAAAGAACTGTGCTTCGTGAAACAAGCAGGTGACTAAGAAACACATTATAGACTACTAGACAAAGTTGTAACTTTAGTTTTTTACTCGTTTTTAATCATTCTTGTCTGCATTTGGGAAAAACCAATGTACTCCACGTCTGTGATGCAGAGTCCATGCAGAAACCAATTTCTGATTGAACATAAATTCACTCTTTGAGTAAAAAAATAAAAAGTGGAAGTTCTAAAACATTCCTTTTAAAAGTCTGGTATTTTAGCACGTCTCAAAGATTAAAAAATTGAGAAGCTGAGACAAATTTTAAGACAGCGTTAACTTTATTACGTGATTGAAGTTTTTTGTCTTGTTTCGAGAGACGGATTGTTGCAAAGAAGAATTGGGGCTAAACTATCGTTTAGTTACTTGTAGGTGCTTTTCAGAAAAAATAACTTTCCTTTTGCGATGACAAATCAAAAAGGGGAAGGAATGAACCAACTTCAGTAAAATGTGACTGTTACACGGCTTTGCTGGTATGGAATTTTTATCAAACACCGTAATGTGCTGGAAAAAAGCCAAAAGCACTTTGCAGATTAAAAACGTATAGTATTAACACGTAATGGGTGAAATTGCTTTGAAAATGCTACAATCATAAATGAAGAGCCCGCTGATCCACATCTTCTGCTAGTAATCTGTCCAAAAATTCAATTTGAACCTGATGGTTTGACAGCTGTTAGAATCCCTAGTAACAAATTTCACAAGCTTTTTAACAAGTCTAAGGATAAAAAAGACGACAGGGCGAAAAAGTTACCAAAAATTTTATAATGTTTGTGTTTTTGTATTTCTAAATCCTCAATATTTCAGTAATGTTTTTGTCCTCCTAAACAGTAAACACAGAATAAAGTAATACAAGAAAAAAGCAGTTTAAAGAGAAATCTCGCTAATTGTTTCTCCAGCTCTGTTTCAATTTAGTGACCACATCGCTTTTACTGGTTGTAATGAAACAGAGCAACATCTAGCATCATAACCGTTCCCAGACTTTACTGAGGTTATCTTATTGAAAGAGCTCGCTTTCTTTTTCTTCCAGCATCAGATCTTCTTTTTTGTTTTTTACATTTCATGGGACACTTTCTAGAAAAGAATCACTCTTAACCTGTTTATTTTTTCTTCGGTTTAGCATGCATAAACTTGCATGCAAGAAACAACAGAAAAAAAAGCAATAGGTCGAAAAGGAATTGAATAAATTCATGATTTTCACAGCAGTGCATTAACGTAGTCGTCGAAGTTATTTTCCCTGAATTAAAAGTTCTGATCTACCTTGGTAACACCAGTGCTAATTCTTTGTTTAGCATCAGAAAGAAAAATTTTTTTAGTTTTGATGTCTATTCAAAAAGCCAAAGAAACTACTTGTTGAAATAGTTTAATAACAGAATATAGTGTTTTGAACAACAGTTTTTTTTTTTGCAAAAACAGTTGTGTAAATAGTAAAATTTAGCCAGAGCAATTTAGAATTTCAAAAAACTTGTATTTACTGTCGAACATAAGCTATTTTTCATCTGCTGTCAACAGTTATTTCAAAAATAAAGAGGTACTCTAGGTTTTACTTAGATCACTACATGCTTATAAATGCTTCCTATAAGGGCTTTATGATTGTTTTTTAAATTTATCAGGTAATGCTTGCATATTGGTTTTTTTTCAGTATTATTATCTTTGCAGTAGAACTCTTTTAGTCAAGATTAGCCTAGCTTTTGAGTATACAATTAGATTCATATGTCAAACCAATTTTTCGTTGTTATGATTCTGAGTTATAAGTAAGAAACATGTGGAGATGGAAATCTTATTTCTTCTCTGGTACCATCCATTATCTTTATTCTTGCGTGCAATACTGCAGCAGTGCTCACGCAGATTGTTTTACAACTATTCTTTGAAATAGCTCTGGTAAAGGTCCTTTTTTTTTTACTGAAGTAATAACGTGTTGCAGTATTTATAACTTGAATGTAATCAGGTTCTTTTTTATTTCACTTTCTTTCACTACGTCACTTTAAGGATTAAAATTAGAGAGACTTTCAATAAAATCGTTTTTACTTGAAAACATCGGTAAAAATAAGCATCGAT